GAGGGAGAGGGAGAGGGAGAGGGGAGGGAGAGGGAGAGGGAGAGGGAGAGGGAGAGGGAGAGGGAGAGGGAGAGGGAGGAGGGAGAGGAGGAGAGGTCAGAGGCAGTTTTTACTGGGATAGTTTTACAGAGATAGCATGTAGAAAGAATAGGCTAGACACAGGTGAATACAGAATGATCCAGAGAATGGAGCCAGAAGATTAGAACAGATTGATAGAGTTAGTTTGAGGCCAAGCTGAGCAATTCAGTCAGAAGCTGAGAGAAGCCACTTTGAATCAATCAGTTTGGAGAGGAGTTTGAGAACAGCTGAATTGAACCAGCCGGCCAGAATCAGAAAGAGCAAGAAAGGGTGAGCTTATTCAGCAGTAAGCCTCTGAGGTGACAATACATCAGGAGAATAAAATATACATTTACAAAAACTTCCAGAATTAAGAAACAAAGTGGACCTTTTCTTTTTATCAGTTAAGACTGTATGTGTTCAGAGTGCTGTGGCCATAGATAAACCTTTTCTCTTTTTCTAAACAGGTAATTTCAGGTTCTTGTTCTAGTAGCAGAATACTGACTTTCAGAAGTTTTCACTGTGCCAGAGACATCAGAAACAAAATCTTACTCTAGGATTGATCCAGAGTCTCAGTCGTGTTAACAACAGCCAGCCGTATTCAGCTTCATGAGTCCCATTCTACCTGGCTTTCTTCATCTATTTCATATTAAATTTTATTTGAAGATGCAAGTTTTAAGCTAAAACTATGTGAGAATAAAATTTTAAAGATGTAAAAACAAAGAAAACTTACCATTTTCGAAAATATACTTGATCAATGTTTGTGAATTTAGAGCATAAATACTCTAAAATGTTTGTCTCAGCCACGGCTTTTCTCAGTACACGTCTACTGCTAAAACTACAACTGCAAAGCTGTTCTCTAGTGTCTACACTCCAGACAGAATTTGGAAACAGTTTTTGATTTGATGGTTAAGTAAAACTATGAAATAGTTGAAGTATTTTTTTTTTTCTTTCTAAAAATGGGTACCTCCTGCCACATGAACTCTGGGGTCTCCATCACCTTTCACTCCCAGGGCTGCTTGTCTGTTTCTTCAGGGCAGACCTGGTCCTATTTTGTGAAGCAGCAGCTAGGCTGAAGAGAGTTCATGGCTCATCATGGCACATGAGAAACCCACAGAAGGAGTCAGGACTGAGAGCAACAATCACATTCTTTTGAAAATGACGAGGAAGGAAGGTTCTGTGCTACCGTTTAAGATTAAGAGGCAGGCACCACTTACTTAGTAAACAAAGAAAGCCTATTTGAATGACAGGGTTTGTCAATGAGGCAGTCAGATTCTCGTTAGGTAGGCAACCAATCAATGAACCAAACATACCTGCACAATTGGAAATGGAGGATGAAGCTACAGCTGATGTGTTCCAGCAGCAGACAGGTGTCTACTAGAAAGGGAACCTGGTACTCTACTTCAGAATCTTGTCATAGCCCAAGGGTACACTCTCAATTTGAAAGCCCTACTTTGGTTTCAGAACATCTTGACTACTTCAGGATAGTTTTCTCTGTTGTTTTATCCCCCCAGCCACATTCCGTAGTTGTACATAAAGTAACTGATATATGTGCACAAGCATACTGTGCTTTTTTTCCTTTTCTATTTTTTTTTTAATGAAATGGCCAATGATCTATTTTGGTTGACATCTGATGGAGATGGTCTGATAGAAAGTACCTGTTCTGTGAAAATAGTGGTGGTATGCTTTCCCCGTGAGTGGTGGTATGCTTTCCCTGCTCTTACCTTTATACTCCTGTAAGTTATTAGATCTCATTGTTTTAACAAATGAACCCAACACCATAAAATCCTTACAGACCTTGTTCTATTAAAGAAGCTCAGTGTTTTCAATCACTGTAAAACCAAGGGCAATTTTATAACTTTTTTTTTGTACCCACCTGTTTGATGTAGGGCAATCTGTCTTTAAGTAGGGGTAAATTTACTCTGGAAAAAAATGATTCTGGATGTTTTCCCTTCAAACCAAGCATCTTGTTGTTTAAATAAACTTATTTAAATTGAAAAAAAAAAACCTAATACCTTCTAACTGTAGCCTGCTACCACTCTGTCTTTCATAGCCACTCTGTGGTTTGGGGGTTGTTGTGTATTAACTGACACATGAGTGATGTGATCTGGCATGATTCATAACGTCAAGCATCAGCAGAACATTTTGGGGAAAAAATATTCATCAGAATCTATTACTGTAGAAATTGCTGCTTGCAGATTCTTTCCTGCGGTAACTTCTATGTGTGGTAAAACAACACCTTTTCTGACGTCACAAGCCATGTTTTTTAGGAAGTGTGGTTATGAAAATAGGTGTTCCTGAAGTCCGGGTGTGATCTCAAGGCTATTCACTAAATACAGCTGAATACCAAGCAACCTGTCAAAGACTTTCCCCACTCACCTTCAACTGAGTGATGGACAGTTCCTGTCTTAGGAACAAGGAAGAGGCGGGGATCTGAATCCCTCAGCGTTCCACCCCAACCCAGATGAGAACTTTACTGTATGAGGAAGAAAGTCTAGCTTTAAAGTAATGTTTTATTTGCATATTAAACTGTTCTTTAAAAAAAAAAGGAAACCACACAAAATCCTGCTCTCAAAGCCAATATTCCATCTCTGCTTAAGCACATTCAGTGGTTATATGAAGCCTCATGGTAGTTAGTCCTCAAATGTCTTTTGAAGTGATTTTGCAAATATTTGGTGTTCAGCTAACTCCTTCTATTATAATTTTATCAGTCAGGAGTTGTGTCTTTATGCTAGCCTTACTATGAATTATTTAAAAATGCCACAATTTTCAAAAGATTTGCGCAAAGGTACCCATTTAAATATACATATTAAAATTCACAGTGGTATTGATTTAAAAGAAGAAAGGTCCTTCAGAGTAGCCTCCATGGTTGCTACCCAACATGAAAATTCTCTCTTGCCTCAGTGTTATCCATGCTACTGAAAAGATATCCCATTTCCCACGACTGTATCCTTTTAGCTGCCGTCTTCTCCCTGCCCACCTCCATTTTCATATTGGATGCAGTCATTCCAGTAATGGCTGACTGTACCAGTCACTGTACAAGGTTCTTGGGCTCTGAAAAGCAAAAACAATAGGAAGAGGGCAGACATGAGAGGAAATATTGAAGTTGGCTATTTTTATAACTGCTAGGGGTGGGGAAGTAAAGGTACAGGAAGAAATAAGAATACTCTACCACATTTGTTTCTTTACTCAAATGGACTTAGCACGTTTGAGCACCAGCTGTATATCAGGTACAGTGCTAGCCAGGTTGGGAAACAAAGCAAAAGAGACATGAGGTCTAGCTTATTTCATACCACTGGAGATAGAAACCTCAATACAATGAGTTTATGAAGCATCTTCAGCCCCGATGGAGGTACAGTCCTCTGGAGGTCTAGCCATTGTTTTCATTCATGCCCTGTCAATCTGCCCTTCTAGGCCCTTAATAATCTAGTATCGCTCATGGATGGCATCCTCGATGAGTCCTTAGTGTTGTTTCCACTATTCTGATACTTCAGTCTCTCTCGGGATTCACCCCATGCCTTATGCAAAGAAGTACAACCTGAAACATTTAGGTCAGCCATAAAAACTTGCACAGTCTTCCTGCATTAAAAACATTGGTGGAGTCCTTGCTGTCCATGTTGCCAAGCAGATTCCTTGAAGTTTGTTTTTGTCATGTTGAAAATGGGACAAAGAAGAACAAGGGCCGTGGAAAAGCAAGGGCCACAATAGGAGGTGGGGTCTGAGCTGTCTTCTCTACAGCCACACTGTCTCTCCAGGATCATGTTGTGAAGCTCTCATGAGTTAGAGGAATTGGCCATGCCACTTTTGTTCGACATTCATTTCATCTAACCTTTCCTTTAGCATACTCTATGGGTTTTAATGTAGTCACCTATCAAATAATTATAAACTAGAGAGAGAAGCAAAGAGATTAAAGACGAAGCTAAGTGGTAGGGTGCTTGGATAACATGTACAAGATCCTGGCTTGGACGACTAACACAAAAGAAAAAAGCAAAAGAGGAAATGGGAGAGGAGGAGGGATAAAGAGGAAAAGGAAAGGGAAATAGAGAGTGGAGGATAGGCTGAATACTTAGAACAACTTGCCAATAACCAAAAAACATACAAACTGACGAGTCTGCCTCTGAAACTGGCAGAGACATGTTTGCATAACTGTTGTAACTGCATTAAATGTTTTACATCAGTGGATAGGTATGTAGGATAGTTCATACAAGAAATGAAAACTTTCTGAAGAACCCACTGGAAATTGTAGCATCAGAACCCAGAATTTACTGTTTTCAAAAGTCATAGGAGATGCTAAGTAGAAGGTTGGCCATCATTAAAAAAAATTAACTATGGCCGTTAATTGAGGGCAAAAGGGGGGGGCGAGTCAATGAGAGGTATTTGTACTAGAGCTTGGGGTAGGGGAAATCTACGTACGTACAGAAAACGTCAGTGAACTATGAGATAATACCAAATGGTACAATTGAATAAATAGAGACCAGAATAGAAAACATATGAAGAAATGATGTTGAACTGTCTCCAACTGCAGTGAAAAATCAACTCATAAAATCCAAAATTATTCGACCACCCTCAGCTGAATTATTTGTATAAATATAAATTCAGGATACAACAGTAAAATATTGCATCAGACCAAGTTAAATAAGTTTATTAGAGGTTGTTTTTGAGCGTATATACAATGCAAAGTTCCTACCATGTAATAGACATATACATTTCCTAATTTTTATTAAATCTCCTTTCACGAGGAATATTGTCTGAGTGTTTTAGTATGCTGCCTACTGCTATGATAAGCATCATGGTTAAAAGCAACTTGAGAGCAAAGTTATATTTGGTCACACGTCCAGATCGTAACTGATCACCAAGGGAAGTGAGAGCAAGAACTCAGGACAAGAAGTGTGAGGAAGGAACTAAAGCAGAGTTCATAGAGGGATGATGCTTACTCCCTTGCTCCCCTCTGTTTGCTCAGTCTACTCTTTTAACCCAAGACCATCTGCCCAAGAGTGGCACTACCCAAAGTAAGCTAGGCCCTCTCACATCAATCACCAAGGTCATCAAGAAAAAACAAAAAACAAACAAAAAAAACACCCTACAGACTTGCCTATAGACTGATCTGATGGAGGTAACTCCTCAACTGACTTTCTCTCTTTCCTAGTAACACTAGTCTGTACTGTATTAAGGTGACAGCAACTAACCGTCACACTGGGACTATTGTCGATACCATTTCAGGAATTTCTGAATAGTGGAAGACAGAAAGATATGGAGAAAAATTGGGGATTCTATCACAGTGAGGTAGAAAACCTGCTTCACAGTCACAGGAGACAGAATGAAAGCTTTGCCTAAGGTTTAGATAACATTCAAGTAAGAAGAAGATGAGAGGATTCGAAATCAATTGAAGGGCTAACAGTACAATGCTTAAAGGCTAAAGCATAGTTCCTGGGACTATTACCTTATTTGGGATTCGGGCCGTTACAGAAGTGATCAAGATGGGGTAGATAGATGGGAACTAAGTATAATGGTATACATGTATGAAAATGTCACAGTGAAGACTATTGTTTTTCATGCTAACGAAATAGTAGTGGGTCTGAGGAGACAGCAAAGTCCTTCAAGTATGTGCAGTACAAGCATGAAGAGCCATGTGAGATCAATCTCCAGAAGTCATGTAAAATTATCAAGGCAGCCATTGTAGTGGATGCTGATAATCCCAGTGCTAGAGAGTCAAAGGTAGGCGGATCCCCGAGGCTCACCGACCAGCCAGCATTGTGTACTTGGCAATCTCCAGGCCAATGGTAAACCTTGTCTGTGAATACAGGGTACACAGCTCCTGAGCATGGCACTTAAAGTTGATCTTCGTCCTCTACACACATGTATACCTGCACACATATGAACATGCACACACAAACATCCATGTGTGCACATACCCATAGACCATCAAAATTTAATTAAAAAGTAAGATAAAGTCAAACTAAATTGTGGGTGGACTCCAAATCTAATGATGGATGTTCCTGTAAAAAGAAGTATAGATACATTGACTCCAAAAGGGAGAATGTTATATGAAGCCAGAGCCAGAACCTGACATGAAGCAGCTTCAAAGAAGCAACAGCCAGAAACTAAAGGAAGCAAAGAGTGTCCTTCTCAAAGGCTTTAAAGAAATCATGGTCTCAAGGGACATCTGCAGTGCTGGACTACAGAACTCCTCAGCATAAAGGAATAAATTCTTATTATTTTAACTCTTTGTCAGTGAAGCCCCAAGGAACCAGTCCATACAGGTATTGGTTTGAATCGCACACAATTTCTGTTTTTCTAGGTAAATGTGGATAGAAGTCACTTATCTTGACATTCTCAAAAGTGAACTAAGTCAAAAATGTAAATGTATGTATCCAAGGTGCA